AAACTCTCAGCACTACGACAGTCGTAAGTCTATGTTAAGGTATGAGAGTTACGATCACCTGCCCTTAACGGCACCCTGGTTAACTCGTGACACAGCTGCCTGTTTGTAGACCTAGACCTAGACCTAGACTGGAACTGGGCATCAGAGCACTGACCACAGTCTGTACGGCATTCACACTATCAACCACTATGTATGATTCACACTGGTTATTTTGTGTTTAGTTGATATAAATGTATAATTATGAGTGAACTTAAATAACACTTTCTCTTGTACTGGCGTGCGTTGTTGTGTTGGACAGACCCTCTTGCCATATGAGCGAAGGGGTAGTCTAGCGGTTAAAGAATTTGCTCTTTAATCTTCATATAATTACAGTGTGTGTGAAGCCTCGATATTGCTAAATCTAAAACCCATAATTACTCTTTCTACCTAGCGATCTTTAGTAGGTCTATGCAGGAATAATATACAACGTCTACGTTATATAGTCTCCCTGGTCTATGTTACAGTAGTGGCGATATGCTATTGCTGCTGTTTTTGAGACAATGACGTCATTTTCCTTTCTTCTACAGGGTTGTGTTCAGTTTAAGTTACCTGGGGACCAGAGGTTTTGTATACTAGCTGATGAAAGTTGGTGATAACTAACTTGAGAATCACTAGTGTTGTGTTACATGCTGACCAGCGATCCCTCTCCGTCAGTCATATCGAGAGTAACTAACAACCTACGAGGAATAATGGGGCATGTCCTTGAATGACAGGTGTATGTCCCGAGGATATTGCTGGCGTCTTACAACACCCATTCAAGAGGAACGGACAGGCCTTTACTCCTAAAGACAATGAAGAAACGTCGTGAAAAATATCAGCCCTATCGAAAACCGCCTCTAAATCAGGGAGCTTTTCTGGTGACCTAACGTGATACATAGTGACGTCATGAAATATCGTATGCCGCCATATACTAGTACTCTTATGTGACGTCACAATGCTTCAGCTGGCCAATCAGGTTTGAGAAATTTTAAATCAGTAAATAAAAGGGAATTATTACCCTCCCCAGTAGTAATATTGGCGTTTTAACGTGTAAGTTAATGGTGTTTATGGTGATTCTGCGATAAGACGTTGTACATAACAAGTGGTTGTCTGAACTGCTGCTCCAGCCGAGGTACATGAGATCGTTATGCCAACTACATTAAGTTGGCGTTTAAGTTGTGTATTGGGTGCAAATTACTGCAGAGCAGTGAGCTGGTGAACTCGGCGATATTTTGTGCCAGCCCATATCCTCTTCACGCATTCCGTGTGCGTCAGTTATAACAAACGTGCCAACATGAACTGTTATTCAGGCCTCACTCTGCATAAACACTGTACACCGTGCAAGTCTTGGCAGCGCCTTACGCGAAGCCGTCTTTTTGACTGCATACAAACCAAGTCAAGGGCGGTATGTATATGCATGTCGGGAACCGTCTCTGCGTTGATTGCGTAACTCGTTCATAAGTATGCGTAGACAACATTCGTCCTGAAAGTCCTCGCATCCCTCCTGCATATAAACGTTATATGTATACGAACGCCCGAGAATGATTCACGGTGATCATGCTGCATTTTTCTGCAACCCTTAACCTAATTGACTGTTGATTATAACATTAACTCATAGTTAAACGTTAGCTTGAGAGTCTTTAGCCCTATCTACCTGCGCTAGCACGTTCGGACCATGCCGTCACGACCCCATACCCGGCCTCTGTGTATTACCTGTTCATAACACACCTGACCAACACCTGTCACATGACATTGTCCTCCGTGCGTAGCGCCACCTATCGGTAAAATGTCTACCGGGACTTAATCTGTCGACCTTGCCAAATATCGTCATGATGACCGGGTTATGAGGTATGTACCTCGCCTATGAACAGAATTCGTGGTTAGTTTTATACATTGTGTGTATGTGGTGCCCGAATGGTGATGTATTTGTGTCGAGAATGTCGCTCGATGGTGGAGTCAGATCTCAGGTCGACGCGACGGAGTGTGTCGTTTGGCCTCTATACTTGAGTTGTCGCATTGTAACGATTGTTGACAAGCCATGTACAGCTTACACAACCCCTTTAGCGTTAGTTTGTAACTGTTTCTGTTCTTTCAGTGCCAGAGAATACTTTCAAATACCGTTTTTACATGTTTACCGCTTTTCTATGGATTGAGAAATATTTGACACACCTAAGCCGAGACAACAAAATATCGGCTGTATATTGGATAGCTGAGCGGAAGTTCCGTTCGATGTCACAAACAGTGCATTGGACTGGATGTTTTCGAAATGTACGTGCACACATTGATATAATATAGAATATATGTTGTTGTGTAGTGTATGTAGGTGAATGTTTTGCTCGTGTAACGGTTAGCGAACCGGGGAGAAGTGTCAAATGAGGCCAAGGCTGATGAAAAGACATTAAGCCTGTACAGGTATAGATTTAGGTCAGGTAAGATGAAGTTAAAAGTAGACGAGTCACAGGCCTACAGGTGGAGTTAAGACGGATTACAGGTAGATGGGATTAGGTTTTATAATCCTCTATGGATATCGGCTTTTATGTTCAATGATGAAACAAACCAAATGTTACTATGTTTCTGCAGAAAGTGATTTTACTGACCTAGTATTTTGACAGTAGAAGGACTATTGTGAAAAAGTGAATATTTATTTACACAATTGAGATCCCATATTTATGTATTTCATCAAAATTTGTAACTCTACAATATTTAAGAATATGCTTCAATTTAAAACATTTACATTGAGTAAAAATGTTATAATTTGCAATAGACATGATAAAGTATTTAATGTTTAAACATTGTGTGTAAACAATGCATGCCAGTCTCCTACTTGATACAAACATATTCCACTCTGATATGTGGGATATTAATATGTATATCACAGCTGAAACAATATCCCATGTTCGAGAACAGTGTATATAATTTCCTACACTACAGTGGAGAGCTGTTTCTCACTGGATTAAGTTTAAACATGATTCCATAGTTCTGATCAACTTGTACAGTGGTGTGTTCAGAATCTTCTAAGGTAGGGAATTTGTATTATTGTGTGCTTGCTTCCACACCAGGTGGAAATATGCCTTACTTATTTTTGACATTTGAAAGAAATGTTAATGTTAGTCGATGTCAGTAGGAAAACACAAGTAGGAATGTGACAGTTTAAATACATCAAACGAAAGAAGCACAACAGTTTTACTAAATTACAGCTGGGTTGACTCACAGCTTGTGTATACTCACTCAGTGAAACAAACTGATAATTCAAGTGGACTAACAACATGTTACCATGGTTACCTTTTGTCAATATGTAAGAATCACTGTGAAAGATATTAATTTTATATATATCACTGAATGCATTTTCTTTATTTACATGTAATAGTAATTATATAATGGAATATGGTGATGTGTCCTAAATTGCAGAGGTGTTCAGTGTTGGGTGTGGCAATAAGTATGTGATACGTAAGATTGCATGGATTGTGACATGACATCATATTGATTGGTTAATCATTATATATACAACAATAATCTCTTCAGTGTTGTTTTTGCCATTAATGCTATCGAGTCTTGTGCCCTACATTTTGTAAACATTTTTTTCACTCTTGAGGTCAAATTTTCTTAGACAATGCATGTTACAAAGTTGGGCAACTGTGTACATTTCCTGTCGTGAGAAGGTCCTGTGGATGTGGATGACAGCGTAAATCCCACAAGAATGCTTTTTTGTTGTAACACAATTTTCCCCAGGTTGAAAAACAAGAAGAAACAATGTTAAGTTTTTCTGCATTTCCATGTGTATTTTGGCAGCTGCACATCTGCAGGTGTTGGTCTGATGACAATCTATAATTATTTTCATATCCATAAGTGTTTCTGTCACTGTAATGACAACATCCTCTATATATATCAGCAGACCCATAAAGATCCGGGTTAGAATTGATCTTCAGGAACCCATGGTTGTTGTAAGAGGCGACTAACTGGGTCGGGTGGTCAGACTCGCTGACTTGGTTGACACATGTCATCGTATCCCAATTGCGTAGATCGATGCTCATGATGTTGATCACTGAATTGTCTGTTCCAGACTCAATTATTAACAGACTGCCGCCATATAGCTGGAATATTGCTGAGTGAGGTGTTAAACAACTAACCAACCAATATTCATCAACAGCTCGCTAACTGGTGTACCCCTGAATCTATTCGTGTTGTCCTGGCAATGTCAAATTATCGGCCTTTCTTTTTCAGTAGTAGTGCTATGTTTGAATTTGTGTAATAAGTTTGCTTTTGACTATAACGTGTGTATTTTGTTCATTAAAGGAAGTTATAGTAGCCTAACTTTAACATTTGTAGATTTAAGTTAATTACTAAACCAGGTTTTGAGTTGTTAACACAATTGTGCATATATGATGAAAATAGTTATCTATGATTAATACTCATATTATAATAAGTTACACCCTTGTAAATACTTGTATTATTTTATGTTTATTATTTATTATTATATGATATTTGTATAATGCCAATATCCAGCTCAGCTCAGCTGCTCAAAGGTGCTTTGTTTTTCCCTCGATCATAGGGTGTCAATCTCAACGGCACATCATATTTATCAATCTCAACTCCCTGGGGATCATATCAGGGGTGGAAATAACCCATTGCCCGGTGCCCGAGTCCAGTGTTTTTTCTGTCGGGCAAGCAAATTTGTATATCACACTGTACCGGTGTCCAGTTGACTTTCCAATATTAATTATGTTGTTTATTTTAAAAATCAACAAGAAAACGGCTGGCATAGTGGAAAAATTATCAGGGCAAGTGATTTTACATGTACCACTGTACCGGAGTACACTAGCAATTTTAAAGTTATTTCAACCCCTGCATATAATTTTATATCAATTGTTGTTTTGTGGCACATTATATTGTAATGCTCAGAACCTTTAGTGAATGTTAACACAGCCTTAGTCTCTGCCACAGTTCATGGTGTACATGTCTGATACATCTAACCTTTGTTTCAGGTGACATGTAACTAGTCCACAGGGGACCAAGGTCGACTCCGCCCACCTCACAGGAGTCCCACTTGTAACCTTCTATTGGATGTACTTCATGTTGAGCAACTCACAGACAGCATAGGCTACTTCCTGTAGACGTTGGTCCTCTGTTGGCCTATGGAGAGAAGGTGTGGCTTGTCTCGTGCACACTCACATTACTGTCCATGGTGTGTGTGATGGGGCAGGACTTACTGTGCCGGTGTTACCTCTAGCTGTGTTTTCCAGTAATTGTGATATCTGACTGACGCTGCCAAGATGACGGACCATACTGAGCTGGTTAATGAGATGGCATCCGTGGAGCGGATGTCCACTCAGGATCGGCTGAAACATGCTCGTAAACGGCGCTCACAGCAGCTGAAGAAATTTAGCCAGTATGAAAAGCACTTGGATAAGGAGTCGAAGAAGAAGAAATCTACTTCTCAACAGAATTCTATTCAGAGACAGAAAAAAAAGAAAAATAACCGAGTGAGATTTATAAGTAGCATAGCGTTGTTGGAATCTGCTGCAAGAAATGACATAGAAGAAGGTAATAAATAGCGTTATTTGCCAACTATTTAGCATCCGTGATGATCCGAGAATTGGCCTTCAGCAACCCATGCTTGTCGTGAGAGGCGACTAACAGGATTGGGTAGTCAGGTTCGCTGACTTGGTTGACACGTCATCGTATCAGATTGAGTGGAACGATGCTCATGATGTTGAATACTGGATTGTCTGGTCCAGAGTCGATTATTTGCAGACCGCCGTCATATAGCTGGAATATTGCTCAGGGTGCACCATTAAACAACAAAATATATACAAAACAAAAAACACAACAGTTTTGTTACTATTAGCTTGGTGGTTAGATCACACACCGCGGCTTCCACAAAATAACACTTACCAGAGGGGTACACAAAGTCTGCAGTCTAGACTACCAGTTGTCCGACTTCCATTTTTGTGGAAGCCGCGGTGGCTGAGCGGTCTAGGCATCTGACTTTGTGTGCTGGCGATTAGGTGCCTGACTCTGAGGGTGTGGGTTCGAATCCCGGATGGGACTCAACCCCCAAAGTACTAGAATCTGTACTTTACTAAGAAAGTGTAATCCCAAATATAACATACGTTAAATCATTAACTCGTTTAAGAAAAAACGTATTACACAGAAGGTTGTTTAGTATCCTCTATTTATTTACCAACCCAGGGATTTATCAAGGATTCCAGGCCACATTTCTTTGAGCTGTAAATTTGGAAAAATAATTATTTTATTCAAATCTGGGACTGTAAAAAATCTTATTTTGTGAAGCTCAGGTGTAGTTAAACATTCCATTCAGTGCATTTACTTTAAACAAGTACAGTGCTTGACCCAGACTGCATAATTGCGGGAATCCCCGCTAATTGTACTTACCTTGGCGCTTTATTTATAAATGTTTGTGCCAACAATGGCGCAAATTTATAATTTATAACACGTTTTAATATATCGGGAGCATAATTAATTTCAAAATACAACTATTTTCATTGAAAGCAATGTCAAACATTTGGAAATCAAAATCAAAATATTCAAACTTCATAAGCTCTGCACGTTGCTAGTATGTCTATTTGCATACGAAAGTGTAATGTGAATCGCTGTACGGAGCTGTTTGGCTGTAGAGAGTTCGACTTCATTTCAGGGTTTTTCATCGAATTTTTTTGGCTGTCAAAATGCCAAAGGGAAGGATTACCGATATTTTTTAACTTTTTTGTTATTGGCCCACATTTTCTAAAGGTAGGGGCCAACTGTCACCTTCTGAGGAAAGCCTGGCTGCAAGTACCAGTCTCATCCTTTATATTTGCCTTCTTCAAGTTGAACTAGACGTCACCTCTATAAGGCTATAATTTAAGTTTAATAACATAAATTGGGAATGTTTATTGACATCTGCTGTAGACATTGTGCAGAATATGGGCCCATGAGTAGCTCCTTATATACCTGTGACAGTTATTGTTTATTAGCATCAGTACTCGAACCAGCAGTTGATGACGAAGTTCACATAAAAAATATGTTGCATTATTTACCCCGCTTACATGGAAGGGAATGAATAACATTATTTACCAAGAGGATTGGTACCAATAGCTGGGTATTTGGTTTACATAGAAGGAAATAAATAACATTTACCAAGAGGATTGGTACCAGTAGCTGGTTATTTGGTTTACATAGAAGGGAATAAATGACATTATTATCCATATGGTGAAACATAACCAGTGTCATATATATCATATCACTTTTGCCTAGCAACCATTTTTTCTGTATTTCGTTGTCTGTGACGTCATTAAACAATTGAACATAACGTCAATGAACAGGGCCGTCACACTTGCTTACCGTGTTTTACTGCAGAAATGTACATGAATAAAATGAATAATAAAGAAATTATTACACTCACAAGTGTGCCACACGACTTATACGGAACTTGTGCAAAATTTGTGTATTGCTCGAGTGATTTCGTATAAGTCATGTGACACACTTGCTCGTGTAATAATCTCTATTTATTTACCAAGAGGATTGGTACCAGTAGCTAGGTAGTTGGTTTGTCATGTTCCAATGGGAGAAGGTGATAAATAAGATTATTTACCAACAGTATTTCTACCAGCAGTTATGTAGTTGGTTCACATAGAAGTAAGTAACAAATAACACAATATACCAAGAATATTGTTACCTGCAGCTAGAAAGTTGGTTGACATGGAAGAAGAAACCAAGTAACCTTTCTTAGCAACTGTATTGTTAGTGGCAGCCAAGTTGAGTGGTTGAAATGCTGACATTGACACTTTTCCCCATGTTACCATGGTTACAGGGGAATCTGTCAGGTACACCTTTCATGCTCATTGCATTTACAGGTAATATAACTGATAATCATCCAGAATTTAAGAAACAATATGTATTCATATTTATGTTTAAACAATTCAAAATCCGTATTGCTTCTTACCCTTTTTCAAAAAGTCAGTATTAGATCATCAGGTCAGAGACAGTAGAGGTTAAGACCTATCCAGTGATATTGAATTCCTTCATACCTTTAACAAATACATATGGAATATGACAAATATAATCAATTGCTCATTATAATGACCAGCCAAGTGGTCAAACGAAATCAAAAGTTTTCATGGTAAGATTATCGTTTAGGGATTAATCTTGCTGGACAGGCTCAGTCCAAATCAGCCTCAAGGCTTGAGCTCATAACAGTAAATATTCCCAGATTAGAATTAGATGTTTGCCAAGTCACTTTAACATACTCTGTGGTAGATAATTTAAATGTTATTGCTTTGCAGAGTTGACTTAATGTTCACTGATAACAGAACCAGTAAACAAGATGGGGTTTTAATGTTAAAATTTATCATTGGGCGCAGTTGAACGTAGGTCAGTGTAACGTAGGTAATTAGTTTAACATGTATTTAATATATTTTTAATCATTATTATATTTTTTGAAATTGGTATTGAGATTCATGAGCAAGTGCATGGCTCACACTCGGTCAGTTACAGGTAGATGTAAACTTACCTAGGTGTTGTTTTACTACAGTGTCCAGTAGTGTTGGGAATTAGTTGAAAGCTCACAATTGATAATTGGTTCATTACCAACAAGCAATCATAAAAAAAATTGCTTAGCGTCATTTTTCAGATTTTCCTATTCAGGTTGTTATAGCAGATAAGTATAACATGTTTTTTGTTATATTTAGCAACCTCTAAATATAATGTTTCAGTAAGTGAAGTGAGTTTTCTAAGAAGTAAAGGCCAACTTCTAAGATATGTTCCATTGTCATGTGTTTCAAACACTAAAACAGTCGAATGAGGACTATTTTTATGGATATACAACTTCTTTATTCAGTATTGGCGACGTTTCGTGACCACTTGCTTGACAGTGACATTAGAATCTGTGTCGAAATGACCACTTGCTTGACAGTGACATTAGAATCTATGTCGAAACGACCACTTGCTTGACAGTGACATTAGAATCTATGTCGAAACGACCACTTGCTTGACAGTGACATTAGAATCTATGTCGAAACGACCACTTGCTTGACAGTGACATTAGAATCTATGTCAAAACGACCACTTGCTTGACAGTGACAGTAGAATCTGTGTCGAAACGGCGCCAATACAGAATAAAGAAGTTGTATATCCACAAAAATAGTCCTCATTCTTCATCTACCCAACTTCTAGAATGCCAGACAAAGAAAGCTAAAACAGTAGTTCCAAAATCGTTTGTGTTCGATTATGAGAAACTGTGATTGATTGCTTGGTCACTGTGACCAATCTTAGATTGCTTCAATTAATTGGAACACCACTAGCATCCAGGAATGTAGTCTGTCTCACAGTCCCTGAACCACAGTATTTTCCATACTGCCAAGCCCCCTCTGCAGTGCTAAAGCCCTAAATGAAGCAAGTCTAGATTTCCTCAGGTTCTGAAACTCTGGTCCTTCTAGGGCTCCATTTCAATTTAAATGGGCTTGTTGGTTATTATCAAAATTATATATATTCAGAGACTAAGCATTAGTCTACCAGGAATGTAGCACACTGCTGCTTGAGATAAACAAAGCACACAATATGAAATGAGACCCAGATTTGTTGTATCGAAATGCAAATAAAGGCTGGTTTGTATCAATTAAAACTTTATATTATTTGAAATCGGTCAACATTGTAATTCAATGCATGTCAGGGGTTACCATGGCTTTATCAGCAAGTTGATGTTTGAATGCAGGTCACATATGACATGTATGAAGCTAGAGTTTCATGATCATGTTTATAGTGTTTATGTCCAGATTTTCATGCGTGTCAATGTGAAGTAGTTTTAATGTTGGGACATGTTGATCTACCTGTTGATTTATTGATTTAGTTATCAGTTGTTTTGGGAATGTCTCTTGTGAAGGACAGCCCACAATCAAAGGTATTTATTAGGCTTGAAACTACGTTTTGTTCCATTATATTCTGATGACGACTGTTTTGATAAAAATCTTTCAGCAAATAGATTCAAGCCAAAACAATAATCACGTGTTATAAAAAAATGGGATAGTTTTTTCCAACTTATATATTAACTTTGTAGTTTAAAATGCGTAAAAGTGATTAATTGCTTGAATACATTTCATCAGTAGAGGAATGTACATTTTAAAGAGGGTCACTTGTACACTAGTGGTGTAAAGATGTGTACAATATGGCATTGTGAGGGTCACTCTCGTAATGACAATACATATTATAAACTACATTACAAGTTCTTTGGATGTAAACATGTTCAAGTACAAGTTTATACATATGCTTTTGTATTGCCTCAATGGCTATGAATAGCAGAGCCTACAGTGCCCCCAATCTTATATGTTTCTCTTGACATACTAGTATTCTGTCTTTGCCTGTCTTATAAGAGATGAGAAAAGAGAAAGAATGTGAACTTTTGAAATAATGGGAAACATATTATATCTCATATTAACTTTGAGGGATTGTGTTTTCTTTTTTTAATAGAATTTATTGTATGTAAATTATGCTGTTTTATCAATTTATTATAATTTAAAACTTCAGTGTGTACATGTTAACTTAAACCTTAGACTCACAAAACTTGATATATTACCCAGTATACCCCTATTGAGAAAAAACCCCATTGCAATACGTATCGTTTGAAAGGCATATTGTGATATGCTGGTACACCGGCAATACCATGCAGTCCTAAAACCTCTACTGTACTGTACGCATCACAAAAACCTTGATACAAGTGTTACTTATATGAAAAATGTAAACATATATCAGAGATGCCAACCACTCTGATTTTGAAATACAAAATCCGCTCTCCGATTTCTCTTTTAAAAAACCCTGATTTTTTAGAAAAAATTCTGATTTCTGAAGTAACCGGTGATTTGTTTGAGTCAACCCCGGTAAAAGCACTCGAAAGCTTAGCGTGTGATCTTTTGGGTGTTGATTGTGTATATTGTGTGTTATTGACGATGAAGTTTCACAAATTTTTCCAAATGCATGTCATAGCCCGTATGTAAGTGAAACAAAATGGACCATGCTGCTGAAGAATAAACCAAGCATGCTAATCTAAAAAAAATTCATGCTCACCCCCAACTTGCACCCGATACGACTCCACTTTCATTAGATTCTGGGTTGGCATCTCTGATATAGTTTAAGCACCATTCAGTTATTGACAACTACATTTACCAAGTTACATAAACATATTTGTCAGACATGGTTTTAAACACTTAGATTTGGCAAACAATTGAGCTTAATATCTGATACAATTGACAATGAATTGTTCTAATGTACATATTCAAGAAGAACATAGAATTAAGATCTCTAAAAGCTATTCATTGTAGATTCATGAAATACATGTCCTTTTTGTGTGCACACATTTCCCATCCTGTTTAAACATATTTACTTTCTGACAAGACTGCTTACCTAGTTGTTTAGGGGATATCACCTGTGCCTGACTAGCATATCTCATTGACATATCCATATATAACGCATATTTGAGTAGCTAGAGATATAAAGAGTCACGCTTACATGTGACTAGTAAACAAGTTGTTAAGGGGATGTCACCAGTGCCTGACTGACATATTACATTGGAATATCCCTGTATTAAAACATATTTGAGTAGCTAAGGAGGGAGGAATTGCTGTTGTAAAGTTTTATTATTGATCCAGCCCCACCTTGCTCACATCCAAACTTACATTTTAGACATTGTAAACGATAAAAAAGTTACTTTTATGTTTGGTAGCTGAAGAACTAAAAGTTTGAGGCTATAATCATCTGCATGTACAGTTATATCATTGTTAATTTATCTGACTAGAGGGTAATCATACACTTAGACTTTACAGCTTAAAATGAGGTAATTAGTTTGGGAAAACTGACTATTCCATATTAAGATATTGTATTAAAACATTTGGTTTGCCTAAGGTAAGCCCATATAATATCTGTGCCAACAACTAACAGCCATAGGAATACTTCGAAATGTCCCCATCCCCTAAAGATTGTCCAGATGCACTGCCATGTGGAACAGCCATAGGAATACTTCGAAATGTCCCCATCCCCTAAAGATTGTCCAGATGCACTGCCACGTGGAACAGCCATAGGAATACTTCGAAATGTCCCCCATCCCTAAAGATTGTCCAGATGCACTGCCACGTGGAACAGCCATAGGAATACTTCGAAATGTCCCCCATCCCCTATTAAGATTGTCCAGATGCACTGCCACGTGGAACATGGACATGATCATGGGGAATTTGTAAATTATGTATAATTTTGATAACATTAACAGATATATAATGCATATTATTGGGAGTTTGGTCACTTGCAAGTCCATTTATGCTTGTTAATTGCAGCAAAATGGTATATCATTATTGGTTAATTTGTTGTGAATTTTAATGTTCTAATTGTGTTTTTTACAGTTAGGAAACTTTTACAAAACAAGACCGATCCTAATGTTACAAACGAGGATGGGCTGACAGCATTACACCAGGTAAGTCTCTGTACCTGTACACATGGTGGTACAACTGCCAGCGTTAGAATTAGAAATTAGAGGATTAGTGGAAGCGTTATGTCCTCGGTAGTTTTCAGCTGGTCCTATTTGAATGAGAGAAAAATGTTTTCATGTTCTGTTTTATAGAGTTTTGGGTCCCCATCCACTTAGCGTTTATAACTTTACGACCTATTGTAACTCTATACTTTATCATAGGCTTATGAATGGCATAGTCAGCTATGAACATTTAGTGGACGAAGTTTAGCCTGATATGTAGCAAAACCACTGAGAACACCGGGTTAACAATTATAGTCCTATATGGCTCCCATCAGCTGATGCATATGCAGACTACAATGCATTCTGGAGGCAGCATTGCTTCAACACTGACTGAGAGTTGTTCCAGATGCCTGACTGTTATGACTCAGGCAATTCTTTGCAGAGTTGTGTCCCTTGGGTGTGCCAGAAATCAATGAGTGGGGTCAGATATTGGGTTCTGAATGATTCAAAGTACGTCCTGAGTGTCACCAAGGTAGAAAACATCTGAGGTCTGCATCACTTGTTTCTAAGGATGGGTGGTGGGGTAGTTGCAGTGTTTACTTTTAACGCCAAAGACCCGGGTTGATTCCCCCCACATGGGTACAATGTGTGAAGCCCATTTCTGGTATTCCCCTGCCGTGATATTGCTGGAATATTGCTAATAGCAGTATAAATTATAATCACTCATTCATTTTAAGCAAGGGTGGTGGGGTAGCCTAGTGATTAAAGCGTTTGCTCATCACGCTAGAGACCCGGGTTCGATTCCCCACATGGGTACAAGGTGTGAAGCCCATTTCTGGTGTCCCCCGCTGTGATATTGCTGGAATATTGCTAAAAGCGGCGTAAAACAAAACTCAGTCAGTATATCATTTTAAGGATGTAAAGCAGTTATTTTCTGTCTTTGGCATCAGATGTTTGTGTTACTGATTATGTAATCAGTGAATAAGAAGTTATTGTTGTCATATTTGTCTAAAAGAGCTGATTTCAGTATATTCTTTTGTGCAAGGAATTATTCATGTAAAAATCAATGTGCACACTTAAATCTGTCTAGCAAAAAAAAACAACTAAAAAATATTCGTTGTCAGTTGGAAAAGATATCGTGATCAGTGTTAGACAATACCATTTTTAACATGAATTAGAGGGTAATAAAGGCCAGAGTCTCCATTTTCACCCCTCCGGCATATAATGCAGGGGGATTCAGTCAACACCTTGTCCATCTGTAATAATTTAGTTTCAGGAGCATAACTCCAAAACCATTCAATATCTTTCAACAAAAAATATATCAAACAGAATCTAAATTGTCCTTCTGATATTAACAGATTTTCGGCACTTTTATTTTTCTCGATTTCCATGGAAACGATTTGGACTTAGTCTAAAAAAATCAGGTTGGACTTTAGATCACTGTCAGATCATCAGATTTGTTCTTTCGAATTTGTGGGGGCCGGGGATTTTTGTCATCTTCTGATGACTCTTGCTGACTTTTAACATTGAAGGCGGTTGACTTTCACTCATATTTGAAACTGTGTGTAATTGTGTTTCCTCCTTGACAGTGTTGTATTGATGACAACACAGACCTGCTGCTGCTGTTACTGGACCATGGAGCCAATGTCAACGCGAAGGACAGCGAGTTGTGGACGCCACTACACGCTGCTGCCACATGTGGACATGTGCATTTATGTAAACAGCTGATAGACAAGTAAGCTGCTACGATCTGTGACAGGAGTATGTGGAACATAGTAGTTAAAGCGTTTGATTCCCCACATGGGTACAATGTGTGAAGCCCTTTTCTGGTATCGCCCACCGTGATATTGCTGGAATATTGCTAAAAGCGGCATAAAACCATACTCACTCACTCACTAAACTTGGTAGGAAATGTTGCTTTATTATCACTAACCACGAAGGACAAACCCCACTTAAAATATTGTATGGGGCAACACCCTTGCTTAAGTATTGTGTGAGACAACATCCTCCACTTAAATATTTTATGGGGCAAGCCACCCTCCACTTAAATATTGTATGGGGCAACATTTTCCACTTAATTACTGTGTGGGACAACATCCTCCACTTAAATATTGTATGGCACAACACCCTTGCTTAGGTATTGTGTGAGACAACATCCTCCACTTAAATATTGTGTGGGACAACATCCTCCACTTAAATATTGTATGGGCAACATCCTCCACTTAAGTACTGTGTGGGACAACACCCTCCACTGAAACAATATATGGCACAACAACCTCCACTGAAACATCAATGTATCGGGCATCAACCTCCACTGAGACAATATATGGGGCAACAACCTCCACTGAAACAATATATGGCACAACAACCTCCACTGAAACATCAATGTATCAGGCATCAACCTCCACTGAGACAATATATGGGGCAACTACCTCCACTGAAACAATATATGGCACAACAACCTCCACTGAAACATCAATGTATCAGGCATCAACCTCCACTGAGACAATATATGGGGCAACAACCTCCACTGAAACAAAATATGGGGCAACAACCTCCACTGAAACAAAATATGGGGCAACAACCTCCACTGAAACAATATATGGGGCAACAACCTCCACTGAAACAATATATGGGGCAACAACCTCCACTGAAACATCAATGTATCGGGCATCAACCTCCACTGAGACAATATATGGGGCAACAACCTCCACTGAAACAAATATATGGGGCAACAACCTCCACTGAGACAATATATGGGGCAACAACCTCCACTGAAACATCAATGTATCTGGCATCAACCTCCACTGAGACAATATATGGGGCAACAACCTCCACTGAAACAATATATGGGCAACAACCTCCACTGAAACATCAATGTATCGGGCATCAACCTCCACTGAGACAATATATGGGGCAACAACCTCCACTGAAACAATATATGGTACAACAACCTCCACTGAAACAATATATCAACACTGAAAATCAATGTATTGGGCAACCTCAACCTCCCACTGAGACAATATATGGCACAACAACCTCCACTGAAACATCAATGTATCACTGAGACAATATATGGGGCATCAACCTCCACTGAAACAATATATGGCACAACAACCTCCACTGAAACATCAATGTATCGGGCATCAACCTCCACTGAGACAATATATGGGGCAACAACCTCCACTGAAACAATATATGGGGCAACAACCTCCACTGAAACAATATATGGCACAACAACCTCCACTGAAACATCAATGTATCGGGCATCAACCTCCACTGAGACAATATATGGGGCAACAACCTCCACTGAAACAATATATGGGGCAACAACCTCCACTGAAACATCAATGTATCGGGCATCAACCTCCACTGAGACAATATATGGGGCAACAACCTCCACTGAAACAATATATGGGGCAACAACCTCCACTGAAACATCAATGTATCGGGCATCAACCTCCACTGAAACAATATATGGGGCAACAACCTCCACTGAAACAATATATGGGGCAACAACCTCCACTGATATGGGGCAACAACCTCCAATATATGGCACAACAACCTCCACTGAAACATCAATGTATCGGGCATCAACCTCCACTGAGACAATATATGGCACAACAACCTCCACTGAAACATCAATGTATCGGGCATCAACCTCCACTGAGACAATATATATCGGTTCAATTCCCCAATACATGGCACAACAACCTCCACTGAAACATCCATTATCTGGTGTCCCCTCCACTGTATCGGGATATTGCTGGAATATTGGGGCTCAAACCTCCACTGAAACAATGCTAAAAGCGGTTTAAAACTAAACTCAGTCAGTCAGTCAGTCAGTCAACCTCCACTGAGACAATATATGGCACAACAACCTCCACTGAAACATCAATGTATCGGGCATCAACCTCCACTGAAACAATATATGGCACAACAACCTCCACTGAAACATCAATGTATCGGGCATCAACCTCCACTGAGACAATATATGGGGTAACAACCTCCACTGAAACAATATATGGCACAACAACCTCCACACTGCACAACAACCTCCACTGAAACATCAATGTATCGGGCATCAACCTCCACTGAGACAATATATGGGGCAACAACCTCCACTGAAACAAAATATGGGGCAACAACCTCCACTGAAACATCAATGTATCGGGCAACAACCTCCACTGAAACAATATATGGGGCAACAACCTCCACTGAAACATCAAAATATGGGGCAACAACCTCCACTGAAACAATATATGGGGCAACAACCTCCACTGAAACAAAATATGGCACAACAACCTCCACTGAAACATCAATGTATCGGGCAACAACCTCCACTGAAACAATATATGGCACAACAACCTCCACTGAAACATCAATGTATCGGGCAACAACCTCCACTGAAACATCAATGTATCGGGCAACAACCTCCACTGAAACAATTTTGGGCAAGAACCTCCTCTGAAAGAATATATGGGGCAAGAACCTCCTCTGGAACAATATATGGGGCAAGAACCTCCTCTGAAACATTGTGTATGTGCAGTAAACAATAGCATTCCCCCATACCAAGTCTTCCTGTAGACCTGGTTTGACAGAACTACATGTTATGTGTATCGCCATGGGTTTAGGTATCTTCTAGGTGTATTTCATGGCCCAGTAAAGTGGTAAGCAATGTATTGTTTTGTTGCAGGGGTGCTGAGTTGCTGGCTGTCAATGCTGATGGCAACATGCCATACGACATCTGTGAAGATGAAGAAACACTAGACTATATAGAGACTCAGATGGCTCTGCGAGGTACCCAGACTTTTTTGCACTTCTGTCTTCTTTGACTTCTGTCTTTTGGTTACCTTGACATCATAGTTTTGCATCATTATCCTGGTCTGGTTCTTACAACCAGTGGTATACTTGTATATTTTCACCTGAAAACTATGGGATAAACAATAACAGATGCACTTAGTATGATCTGTGTGTCCTTAGTGTCAACAGATTTTTATTGTCCCCCCAAAAATGCCCAAATGATCAATTTATAAAAATTTCAGCCTTAATCATTTTCATACAAACTCTTCCTTTTTCCTCATGGACAGAATCATATCATACACTAATGACAGCTTTTGAGATTTCATTTTCTAAAATTTAGTAGTTGAAATCATTGATACTGTGTTCATCTGTCAAGAAATGTACCATCAGTACCATGTATCTGTCAAGAAATGTACCATCAGTACCATGTATCTGCAACATCCAGGTTTAAGAATAAGTTGAGGAAGTCAAGTCAGACAATCATTGCAAACTTCTTAATCTGAGGGCGGCAGGGTAGCCTATAGTTCGTTTGGGTTCAAATGAGAACGACAAATGATTAAATAGCCCGAAATTGGGATAAGTGCACAAAACATAAATAAGACACATGGCCCTGAAACCTCTGTACCCAACAGGATCTGAAATCTGACGGGTTTTCTCATCATTCTCATTTGAACCAGAACAGACTATAGTAGTTAAAGCTTTTGCCGACAACCAAGGATCAATTCCCCACATGGATACAATTCATTACTCTGGTTAACCCATGCTGCCTTGGGACAGGTCTTTGAGTGAGTGACATGCCAATACAATGTGTGTTCTGTGACCTTGCAGGCATTACCCAGGAACAGGTAGATGAGACACGGCTGGCCACAGAAAAGAGGATGTTGGAGGATCTCAAGGCTGTGGGCACTGAGCGCCGAGTCCTAGAACATCGGCTTGAGGATGGAGTGACAACTGTAAGTGCTCATGTTGCGTTACCATTCATCCACATCTACTGATTTAACAGTAGATCAATATGTTATATATGTGTCTCTGGTTTCAACGCAAATATGATCAGCTGATTATTTCTTTAACAATATGTTAATGATAACACTTTAAATACCATGCTCTCTTTGACCTTCAAGCAATTGATAAATATTTCATTTTGCAACGTTCAAAATGGATGTCTTGCATTCAGAAATGGGAAATCAGTGTTTGATTTTAAACGATACAGTGGTGACATTTTAGAACATCTCAGAGTTTATTCCCATTTCTGGTGTCCCCTGCCGTGATATAGCTGGAATATGGTTAAAAGCGGCTTAAAACTGAACTCACTCACTCACTCAGAGTTTACTTATGGATTCTTTTGTAACCACTTCTTAGCCATGTCCCCCATGTCAACCAATAGAATCAGGTCTTCTGCTCAGGCATGTAGAGTAGGAGTGTAATGGTATATCAAACAACTGATGTAATGGGAATTGTGTGCCTTATTATTCAGTATTGACAGGAATTTATAAGTGTGTGTAGTATTTTGTAGTGACTAATAGTTCCATTAGTCACAATGAATTACAAACAGAACTGAAAAGTCCAGTCTTTACAGTCAAAATTTCAAAATGGTGTGTGTAGCCCAGCCAAGATTATGATCACTTATGATAACTTCTGGCTAGAGTTACTTCCCTTTGATTTGAGTTTGTGACTCAAGGGGCAAAAAATGGCTGACTTGGAGTCGGCAGTACTTCATTGAATTTTATTGCATCGATTAATATAATTTTCAAGCCTTATAGTTGCATTGATACTTTTGCAGTGCTATTGCAAGAGTTGACAAATATTACGATTGCAGTAGTGTAAGACCTGTAATATTGCATTACAATAGCAAAAAGTGAAAATAGCCCCATTATCAACCCTATTTTAGAGTACAGTTGATTGTCGCTTTAAGTAACGGTTACTTGTGCAATGCTTCATTGATATTATGTTATATCACCCACTCCTACTGGTGTCTTCAGCTGCACATCGCCGCAGCCAATGGCTACATAGAAGTGGCTGACTTCCTCCTGTCCAATCATGTTGCTATCAACATGCGTGATGACGACTCATGGCAACCTATCCACGCAGCTGCTTACTGGGGACAGGTGAGTATTGTGGCAAACTGCTGGATATGAACTAGTGTCACTCTTGGGAGTCTGTTTGGGCTTCAGATATATGAACTAGTGTCACAATGAGTGAAGTCCATTTTGTGGAGTGATATTGCTGGAATTTGGGCTTCAGATATAGTGGAATCTGTCTATTACTGGACTGGCCTGGGACCGACTCATTTGTCTGTATTATACAGAAGTCTGGATTAGTCAACTTTTGTCTGTTACTGTAGACAATGCCATTATGAGTTACGTGTAGTAATATACAACAATGCATAAATACATAATATCTGGCTTATAAAATAAAGATATAATGGCATAAAGTAAATAAGTTCACTTTCATTGGAAAAAGTCTGTTAACATGGTTTGCTTCTGCCTCTGTAAATTTCCAATGTTTTCAGTCATGTCTTCCAAATTGAGAACATAGGGAGGATATCGGAAACAGTACTCTCTGCAAATTGCCTAATTTGTGTTTATAGAATTAATAAACCATTGAGAACAGAATTAACGGAGATGTTTATTCAATGGACTGTCATTTTAGTCAGCTATGTCCGGATTACAAAGCATTGTTCTCATAAAAAGTTGATTGTCAGGACTGTTATTTTAGTTCGTAATCCGTAATTAGTCCAATTAGAAAGCAAGCTTTAATGATAAATTAAGAACAATTTTGCCGGGACTCAGAAAGTAGTCCGGATTATGGAGAAAACCGGTTTACAAAGAGTCCGAATTTGACAAATTCCACTGTATTCAAAATATTTAATGTGCAAGAATTCTGCAAGTTATACATTGTGCTTCTGTAAACATGATAATATATAACTCTGAAATACAGTAGACATACTGTCATGACAAACTCAAATGGAACATTAATTTTACTCTGTTATAACCATAGATTGTCATACACATTTCGACTGAAATATGTATCACGTGCCAGGGGCCAGTTTGCTGTTTATCTGTCAGTTTGTTCTAACCATGTTCATCGTTAACATAGATCTGTACCACTTCGTAGTGTGATCATATATTTCGTCCTCTGTTCTAGATGTATCCTTGTCATCTTTATTGGATGACGTTAAATATTAACTCACTCACTCACTCTTATTTATTCGAGCTCTGGATGTTAAAGGGCCTACTTCATATTTTTTCAGCCCGAGATTTTGGAACTCCTTGTCCAGAATGGAGCTGATCTTGATGCCAAAACACGAAATGGAGAGACTGCTTTTGGTATTTATTATGTTTATGAACCAACTGAGTTTACTTCGTTTGTCATATGAGTTCTAATATCAGTTCATCACAATGTGTTTCTAGGTTTATCCATACCAAACCTGTCATACTCACTGATTCTAGCAATGTGTGAGGCCTGCATTAATTTAGGCTTCACTCACACAACCTTACATGAAGCGATATAACTTATATACTGTTCAAAATGGCACTAAACTCGACTCACTCACACTCTACTTGGCTCTTTCTTCCCTAAGGCTATCTTACAGTAAAAAAGGCAAAATTGTAAACATTTGTGCTGTTACACATCTCCACAAAGATGGATTTCTCCTACATGCTGTTTTTCTGTCATTTTTATGTAGATTCTTTGATTCTTGATGTTATATATTGACAGATGAGGGGTGGTGGGGTAGCCTAGTGGTTAAGGCGTTCGCTCGTCACACGTAAGACCTGGGTTCGATTCCCCACATGGGTACAATGTGTGAAGCCCATTTCTGGTTTCACCCACAGTGATATTGCTGGAATATTGCTAAAAGCGGTGTAAAACTAAACTCACTCACTCACTACTGACAGATGATGTCATTTGTTACAATGTTTGTATCATGCAGAACTTGAACACATAGTTGTGAATGCTCATTGTAAACCACAATTGTGTCGAACACTTGAGATTAGCAATTCCAACTCACTTTCACTGTAATATTGATTCAGTATCCTGCTGAAAAACGACTTAACGATACACACAGACAGATAGTCAAACAGATATGCTCTGTAGTGAGTCAATCGGCTATAGGAGACGGTGGGATAGCCTGGCTAGCTATTCTCAAAACGTTCGTAGCCCTATGAACTTCTTAAGCCCATTCTTAACACATTGACTACGATCAAAGTTAAGAATTCTTAGGGCTACAAACGTTTCGAGAATAAGGGCCCAGGTGGTTAAAGTGTTCACGCGACCCTTCAGGTTCGATTCCCCACAGTGGTACAATGTGTCAAGCCCATTTCTATTGTCCCCTGCCATGATATCGATGGTATACTGCTAAAAGCGACGTAAAACCATACTCACTCACTCCGTCACCTGTAACTATTGTACCCTCTTGACATGTTTCTTTCTCTTTCTGTGACCAGACTTATGTGAGGATCCCGAGCTCAAACAGAAGATCCTTGACATGAAGGATGAGATTGAGACAACGCGGAACAATCGTTTGCCACCGAGAAAACACCGTATTAGTACCAGAAGGTAAGTTGGCACTGCATGCTTGTCTTGAAACCAGACTACAAAGATGCAGGCAGGGATCTCCTAGCTTGAATATTGGTCAATAGGGAGCTAAGTAACATGGGGGCCCTTGTTAAAGCACCTTTAAAAGTGTGATGCATTCAGGCAGAACACTCTTAAAGAAGTTGGACATACAGGTAGGAACTTGATGTACAAGGAGGGAGCTCTTAGAGGAACATGGGAGGTGGGGAGCTCTTAAAGACACATGAGCATACCGGTCCTAGCTCCTGTAGCACTGTAGGCATGCAGGTAGAAATTGCTTGAAAGATATGTGGACATACAGGTAGCTAGCTCTTAAGAACATATGGCATTCAAGATGAGCTTTCATGAAGGAAATGTGGTTGTACAGTTAGAGGGTTCTTATGGAAATGTGGGCATAAGGGAAATGTTTTTTTATGGAAATATTGACAGAGAGATACATGTCCAGTTATGTTGAAGTTATGTGGATTTGTAAGTGTTTGGCATGGGAAGCTCTTATAATCTCATAATGGCAAGTTATGGTCGAAACATCTGGAGACTGGTTTCAAATGCATGACTATATAATTGTTTGTTGTTAATATTCACATGTGACACAGTATTTGACTCATCAGTATGCCATAGAACAATTGTGTTTTATAGCCATTTGTAAGTTCATCTTGTAAACTACAGGAAATGGATGTTCACATTCACTTTCAAGTTTAAGTGTTATCGTTCACAAATCCGTGTCACATTAGTGAATATGGCATGTGTCTGAGTGGAGATATTAAAGCCTATCGGTTGCTTTTTCTGGTTGTGTATTCTGAAGTGAGCTTGTAGTTGTTAACTGCACTGAAGGAAATTATGAGTCTCAAGTGTATGCATTGGGACTTGCTTGGAGTGAATAAGATTTGCATGGTGTTTGTTTTCGATGGTTAATACTGCCAATGATAGGACTGTACTGTCCATAGCAATCAAAGTGTTTGCTGATCATGGGTTCGAATCCCGGGTGATGATCTTTGGTTTGTCAGCACCAACCTTGACCGTGGGTTTCACAATAATGATAAATCAGGGCTCGATTTAAAAGATGTTAACTTACTTGCACCAGGTGCAGCCTAAGATAAAAACCTAGTTGAACCAGCCAAATTCCAGTTGCTCTGCTTTTATTGCAATAAGTAATGAAAAAAATATGATATCGAATTATTCAGATGTTTTATTCAGAAGTTTACCCACTCAAAACTGAACCCGGAACTCCGTGCAATTAGACTAATAACTAGGTTGCACTTTGGTTGGAATATTTGGTTGTCTTATTCTCTGCATTCACATGATAACACAAAAACTCATGAGCTCTGGGTTGGTATTGAGACTTGAGTAGGGTATAAATGTTGAAATGAAGTATGTCTATGTGGGCAAGAACTATAACATTGGCATTTGTTTAGGACTAGCCAGCACTATATAAGTGGAGTAATCTAGAAAGCAAAATTAAACTCGTTTTCAACTTGCCTCACCTTTTGTCAGGCTTTTTTCCTATATCAGACTGAATTACCCAGAGATGCTGAGTCTGATTGCATTCTAATCATGCAGTATATTGTGTGTGTCAGTGTTTCCGTTATCCGGTATATGCCGGACTTTGACCGGTACGAAGTTAGAATGTCCGGTAATTTCAAAGCCTGTCTGTCATCGTGTCTGGCAAATTTTAAAATCAATTTTCTAATTACCCCTGTCAATTTCATTTCTCCTTGAAAAAGATTACATTTTCACAATGACATTGAGGTGTTGTCAAATAAAAAATAGCAGTTTTGGAAAACCCCACACTAAAAATAGCAGCATTGACGCATTGAAATACCCTCTAAATTTCTGATTGGTTGTTAGGGTGCAAGGTCTCGCGCACAATGAAAAGCATGATCACTTGACCGGTAAAATTTACAAATGACCGGTATTTGAAATGCTGGCCGGTCACAATTTCGAGCTGTAAAAAATGCCAATGGAAACACTGTGTGTGCATGTGTGTGTGTGTTTGTGTCAGAGTGTATATTCATAGTTTTGTGTAAGGTGTGTATGTTGGCAATTCCAACAGTGCATGTGGGTAAATGGTTGGGTCTGTTGCATGACATTATTATACTGTGTTATGGAGAAAAAAAATATTTCAAACAATTACAACAACTACGTATCATAAGGTTTGTGATAAAAATCAGATATTGAAGAAAGTCAATATTTTTATGCTATTTGATCTAAGTGATATAATATCAAGCATCTTTGTGGTTATAGAATAAAGCTATTTTTCTATTTCCTTTATCATGGCTTCTTTGCCAATTTTGACCAGCTGTATTAGGATTGGTTTACTTGTACCATGGCTAGCATCATCATGCTTGTGTGCCCTTTATACAGCTGGCTTGATGTTGGGTACTATTGTTGCTTGCCTGAATGTAGTGTCTTCTGCACCTGAAACATGGAATATCTGTACACAGTGGACAACACACTGATGAAACTCTCACTCTGGCCTCAGAACAACCTGATCTGTGTTAGCTAGCAACAGAATATTTCCGTAAAATGGTTCTTTTTATCATTACAGCTTTTGTAAAGTGTAGTCAACTTTTGAATTAATTACTCAAAAATATTTAAAACCAATAAAAGACCCCCTACCCCCAATTCTTTTGAATTGCCATACTTAGTCTGCCATGGCTGATTAAATATTTTGAAAAACTCACATTAGGGTGATATATTTGTGACCTGTAATAATTTTTGATGTAATCACTGCAATCTTTGTGGCACAAAGGGCCAGAAAGTGCAACATCTCTGTGCAGAGCAGTGATCCTTAGGTATGCCCGGAGGTCACTTTATCAGGAATCCGAGATTCTGACTTTCCTCACATTTTATTGTCATTCCCTGCCTTCACTGAAATATAGTCCAAAGCAAAGGTACAAAATGCCATCTCACTCATCTTGTTTTTGCTGAACGTGATGACCGCGTTAGTGTCACAAGTTCATCAGTTTGTCATTGTCCACAGTGTATAGAAATCCTTCATATGCACTTTGCCTGCCCTTTATCTAGATTAATTATTTAACTTCTATTCCAGATTTTCTTTGAGTTGTTTCTTGCCTTGATACATTTTACAAGACTACATGTGCATCCAGATAAAAATTATATATATTCCAAATATATAAAAAGTTATGATATATTGTAACCTCTAATAAAACTAACTTGTCCACAGTCACACGTTTTCAGCTCTACTGACTGTCAATCAGTGGAGTTAATACATTCATGCATTGTCCTTCCTGTCCCCCTGTCCATCTGTCTGTAAACTCCACATCTCTTCAAGTCAAATCAGTGTCTTGATGTTGTGTTTGATTAAGATCACTTGGATTAAAACAGTTTCATAGGGGTTGGCCTGGACCCGTTAGTTGGCTTCTTTGATTTAAGGAAGTATATATATTAACTTATTCAAGGTGATCACTGACTGTGTAAGATGTACTGTCATTTCATCTTAAGTCCTTGTCATCAATGAGATTTTAACTAAAACATAGCTGAAGTAGGACATAAGCATTATGCTGTTTGTTTTGGTTGTATAAATTGTAAAAGTCTCCAAAATTCAAGTGTTATTTGACCTTCAGCTGAGCACAACCATGGTCTAAGGCACAACCATGGGCTAACATCCATATCACCTAGTGTAACATGCTTTATACCTTAAGGTGTTATCCATATGGCATAGTTATGTAATTAACCTACCTGATATCATTCAATCTCCCCAACCGCTGTTACTTTGCACCTGGTCACTCGAAACTTCCAACTCACCTCAACCCTTGATAATTTCTCCTTCTGTCCATCTCACCCAATATTGCCCTTGACATCTCTCCATCTTACCTAATCTTGCCCTTGACAAGATCTCCATCAGTCCATCTTACCTAATCTTGCCCTTGACAAGATCTCCATCAGTCCATCTTACCTAATCTTGCCCTTGACTAGATCTCCATCAGTCCATCTTACCTGATCTTGCCCTTGACAAGATCTCCATCTTACCTAATCTTGCCCTTGACATCTCTCCATCTTACCTAATCTTGCCCTTGACATCTCTCCATCTTACCTAATCTTGCCCTCGACATCTCCATCTTACCTTATCTTGCCCTCGACATCTCTCCATCATACCCAATCTTGCCTCTACATCTCCCAATCTTACCTAATTTTGCCCTTGACAAGATCTCCATCAGTCCATCTTACCTAATCTTGCCCTTGACAAGATCTCCATCAGTCCATCTTACCTAATCTTGCCCTTGACAAGATCTCCATCAGTCCATCTTACCTAATCTTGCCCTTGACAAGATCTCCATCAGTCCATCTTACCTAATCTTGCCCTTGACAAGATATCCATCAGTCCATCTTATCTGATCTTGACAAGATCTCCATCAGTCCATCTTACCTGATCTTGCCCTTGACAAGATCTCCATCTTACCTAATCTTGCCCTTGACAAGATCTCCATCTTACATAATCTTAACCTCAACATCTCTCCATCTCACCTAATCTTGCCCTTGACATCTTCATCTTACCTAATCTTGCCCTTGACAAGATCTCCATCAGTCCATCTTACCTAATCTTGCCCTTGACAAGATCTCGATCCATCATTCCATCTTACCTAATCTTGCCCTTGACAAGATCTCCCTCAGTCCATCTTATCTGATCTTGACAAGATCTCCCTCAGTCCATCTTACCTGATCTTGCCCTTGACAAGATCTCCATCTTACCTAATCTTGCCCTTGACAAGAGATCCATCTTACCTAATCTTGCCCTTGACATCTCTCCATCTGTCAATTTCACCAAGACTTCCCCTTGCTAATTTCTCCATCTGTCCCCAACACACATCAACCTGTCCTTGATACTCTCCCTATATGTCCAGTCAACCTTTAAATGCCCTTGACCATCTGTCCATCTGTTCGACTAACTTTTGTAACTTTGGTATCTCCATACAATCTAAGATTCCAAAATAGGTGAAATTGGTTGTAAAATTGGGGGAAAGTGTGTCATTTTTGGATGCTGGATCTTTTAATGTTATTTATATAAATTCTCACTCTTGGTCCGACAAGTAAGTTCAAGGTCATCAAATGTCAATATTTTGTAGCCAGGTCAAGTTGATGAGTTCACATAAGAAAGGAATTAACAAATTTGATTTGAATGTTGGAACTAACCTAAACTTAAATAAGAAAAGAGCATGAAGTGAATATTGCTGACATGAGAAGCTTATAAGAACATTTCCCATAGATTTGAATGCACATGAAGCTCTGTAAGTGTTCTCGCCTCATGCACCGATGATGTATGACATGATGACACTGTGGAAGGCATGTTCTCAGCCTGATGCTGCTCTATATTTCAGCTTGACTCATTCCCCAGGGATGCTGTATAGCTCCAATTCCTCACTGAGTGAGAAAACCCCCAGTAGTCACAGGTTAGACAACACATGATAGATACCATATATATCATTGTAATGTGTCTCTCCGTCTACTCTGCTAGCACCATCTTCGCTTACCTTTCCTCATCCCTGCGTAATCATCTGATGGCTTCAGTATTAACCAACCCTTGCATTCTAATACTCATCCTCATCTCACATGTCAAACTTGTAAGAGTTGGACAGCTGTTGTAACAAACTGTTGGTGTTGTGTGTCTCCTAGACAGATATCATAACCAGGGCTGACTGACTGTTCACCATAAGACTGTGTGTCCCACTACAGGAGTATACCGGCTTTAAGGTGGGATCAAGGTGTATTGGCTTTAGGGTGTACCGACTATATGGATGTATTGTTGTATATTTTACAGGGATCAACGTGTACTGGCTTTAAGGTGTACCGACTATATGGATGTATTGTTGTATATTTTACAGGGATCAACGTGTACTGGCTTTAAGGTGTACCGACTATATGGATGTACTGCTGTATATTTTACTGCGATCAAGGTGTACTGGCTTTAAGGTGTACCGACTATATGGATGTACTGCTGTATATTTTACAGGGATCAACGTGTACTGGCTTTAAGGTGTACCGACTATATGGATGTACTGCTGTATATTTTACAGGGATCAAGGTGTACTGGCTTTAGGGTGTACCGACTATATGGATGTATTGTTGTATATTTTACTGGGATCAACGTGTACTGGCTTTAAAGGGTGTACCGACTATATGGATGTACTGCTGTATATTTTACAGGGATCAAGGTGTACTGGCTTTAAGGTGTACCGACTATATGGATGTACTGCTGTATATTTTACAGGGATATAAGCGTGTACTGGCTTTAAGGTGTACCGACTATATGGATGTACTGCTGTATATTTTACTGCGATCAAGGTGTATTGGCTTTAAGGTGTACCGACTATATGGATGTATTGCTGTAATTGCTTTAAACTGATGTCCAGGTGTACTGGCTATAAGGTGTACCGACCATATAGATGTACTACTGTATATTTTACGGGGATCAAGGTGTACAGGCTTTATGGATGTATTGCTGTATATTTTATAGGGATCAAGGTGTACTGACTATATGGATGTATTGCTGTATATTTTACGGGGATCAAGGTGTACAGGCTTTATTGCATACTGACTTAAGGGCTAAACTGAAATGGTGTGGTGCTATAATTATGTTTTATCATGTTAAGGTGTACTGACTTTAGGATTATACTGAGTAGATACGCTATATGCTGTATGACATTAAGGTGTACTGATACAGGGCTGTACTGAGTGGGTGTGCTGCTAAGGTGTAACTTTACTACAGGGCTGTACTGAGTAGGTGTGCTATATGCTGTATGATATATGCTGTACTGACATTAAGGTGTACTGACTACAGGGCTGTACTGAGTAGGTGTGCTGCTATATGCTGTATGACACTGACTTCAGGGCTGTACTGAGTAGGTGTGCTGTACTGACTACAGATGGCTGTACTGCTGTAGAGTAGGTGTGCTGCTATATGCTGTATGACATTAAGGTGTACTGACTACAGGGCTGTACTACAGGGCTGTGTACTGTATGAGTAAGGTGTGTACAGGGCTGTACTGAGAAAGGTGTGCTATATGCTGTATGACATTAAGTGTGAACTGACTACAGGGCTGTACTGAGTAGGTGTGCTGCTATAGTGCTGTATGACATTAAGGTGAACTGACTACAGGGCTGTACTGAGTAGGTGTGCTGCTATATGCTGTATGACATTAAGGTGTACTGACTACAGGGCTGTACTGAGTGGATGTGCTGCTATATGCTGTATGACATTAAAGTGTACTGACTTCAGGGCTGTACTGAGTAGGTGTGCTGCTATATGTGCTGTATGACATTAAGGTGTACTGACTACAGGGCTGTACTGAGTAGGTGTGCTGCTATATGCTGTATGACATTAAGGTGTACTGACTACAGGGCTGTACTGAGTGGGTGTGCTGCTATATGCTGTATGACATTAAGGTGAACTGACTACAGGGCTGTACTGAGTGAGGTGTGCTGCTATATGCTGTATGACATTAAGGTGAACTGACTACAGGGCTGTACTGACTATAGTGTGCTGCTTCAGGGCTGGTGCTGTATGACATTAAGGTGTACTGACTACAGGGCTGTACTGAGTACGTGTGCTGCTATATGCTGTATGACATTAAGGTGAACTGACTACAGGGCTGTACTGAGTAGGTGTGCTGCTATATGCTGTATGACATTAAGGTGAACTGACTACAGGGCTGTACTGAGTAGGTGTGCTGCTATATGCTGTATGCTGTATGACATTAAGGTGTGCTGCTATACTGACTACAGGGCTGTACTGAGTACAGGGCTGTGCTGCTATATGCTGTATGACATTAAGGTGAACTGACTACAGGGCTGTACTGAGTAGGTGTGCTGCTATATGCTGTATGACATTAAGGTGAACTGACTACAGGGCTGTACTGAGTAGGTGTGCTGCTATATACTGTATGACATTAAGGTGTACTGACTTCAGGGCTGTACTGAGTAGGTGTGCTGCTATATGCTGTATGACATTAAGGTGTACTGACTTCAGGGCTGTACTGATTAGGTGTGCTGCTATATACTGTATGACATTAAGGTGTACTGACTACAGGGCTGTACTGAGTAGTTGTGCTGCTATATGCTGTATGACATTAAGGTGTACTGACTACAGGGCTGTACTGAGTGGTTGTGCTGCTATATGCTGTATGACATTAAGGTGAACTGACTACAGGGCTGTACTGAGTGGTGTGCTGCTATATGCTGTATGACATTAAGGTGTACTGACTACAGGGCTGTACTGAGTGGGTGTGCTGCTATATGCTGTATGAAATTAAGGTGTACTGACTACAGGGCTGTACTGAGTGGGTGTGCTGCTATGTGCTGTATGACATTAAGGTGAACTGACTACAGGGCTGTACTGAGTGGGTGTGCTGCTATATGCTGTATGACATTAAGGTGTACTGACTACAGGGCTGTACTGAGTAGGTGCGATGCTATATGCTGTATGACATTAATGTGTACTGACTACAGGGCTGTACTGAGTAGGTGTGCTGCTATATGCTGTATGACATTTAGGTGTACTGACTTCCAGTATTATATACAGTGACTTGAACAATATATACATACACTCGAACACTGTTATGTTGAAGGGACTTATGCAAATACTTTTACTTAACGAAGGTTTGACAATATGAAGAGACAAAGCGTCTGTTTCAAGACAGCTGTAAGTTTGACTCGTCAGGGTTAGACTGTTCTACACTTTGGGCAGACAGACAATGATAAGAGTAGGATGTACTGCAAGTAGGAAGCTGACTAGCTGTAGGGTCTACTCAAGTGTGGAGTCCTTACACATGTCAGATGTCGTGACTGTAAAAAGTGAAATTTACCAGGGTGAATCCTTAAGTGACCTATATGACATCTGTATCCTCTTGGACATCAGACTGTACAAACATAGCACTGGTGTCAGCATAGGGAAGATGGATGACTGGCAGGTTGTCAAGATGTAATGGGAACACTTGGACAAAGGACACTGCAAGTTTTGAGAATCTATACCCTAGAAAAGTTGTCCTATTGCCTGAAACCTGTCGTAGCTGGCTGCTTTAGCCTCAGCGTAACATGCCTCCAGACTAACATTTCCTCTCCTTCTAACAACACTGTATAACCCTGTGTTAAGCTCATGCTGTTGGCATTCACCAGAATCGACCTGGTATCAGATTTATGTTTGAGAAATGTCACCGTAGAAAAGCTGTCTGTCCATGTCTTTGTCTTGTATGTGTCATGTAAACAGTATGCATGATATACATGTGAACTAAATCCAATGTTGATGTATCTTCTACAGGCCTACCAGTGAAAACAGCAGAGAGCAACTTAAACTGTGGAATATGTGTGGAATTAAATAGAAATAGAAACAGAAATCACGAATAAGACACATTCCACATGAAGTGTGCATCAGAATGATTAAAACGCTCATTTCCAATTGAGAATTTAACGCATAAACTTAAGAATGCGTGCACACTTGCATGCGTCCGTCATTTACTGCGATTGGTTCCATTGAAAATGTGACTGATTATAATCATTATGCTGCACACTTTATGGCGATCATATCTTGGTTGTAATTTGTGTGGGTGTTTCAGTGTAGGCATTCCACAGTTTGGTTGCTCCCTGCTGTTTTTTATTGATAAGCGTCACAATTGTATTGATTTGAGTTGTGATGGGTTGTGTAACAGGGACAGGAGCAAGGCTTGCTCATCTCGCATCAATGACATAAACGACGTACGGTAAGGCAACTTCGTCAAAGCGACAGATACAGTTTTAATATTCATATCAAGCTCGCTACCGGAGGGTTGAGGTGATGGCCTAACATTATATTCTGTGTGGTTATTAACTATTGTTACTGGCTTGATAATGAATATATTTGATTTGTTATGGTTATCGTAAAGGAATTTTTGCACTTAGAAGAAGGTGGCGGTAGTTATAGATGTGTATGACAAGCATAATGTTTATCCAATTGTTTTAGCATGTGCCATATACCTGGCTTGTTACTTTAGGTCTGAGCAGCTCTCCGCCATCAGGTGCATGTTATGTCTCACGACTGGATGAGACTGATAGCTATTGGAACTTCAATATAGTACTGCGTACAGGAATGACTTGCAGCAGGATGCATGTATACATACTAGGAAAATTAGGTGACAATGATTTGTTAATCATGTTGCTAATAACTATAGGCATGCACCATTGGGATAAAAGTTGGCTTTGCATATAAGGAAGTGAGTTAATTGTTGGTCCTGTTCTCTACGAACTGTTGGGAATTACTTTATATTTTGCAAGAGAGGAACAAGAGAGGAATAATTAGGATGTATGAAAACAGCTTGGTGCTCTATGATTGTTTTGTCCAGTTCTCACATTGATGTAGGTAGAGTCTAGTAGTGTTCCATTGATTGAAATAATCAAATATTGGTGGCAGCGACCAAACAAACAAGCAATTGAACGCAACATTTTGGAACAGTTTTAGGCATGAACAATATTTAAAGAAGGTGGTTTTGGTCTGGGTTTTTTTAAATTTAAGTTTTTCAAACACTACCAGCTCATGTAGCAACTAAATGGTTTGGTCCAGCTCATCCTCGGATGAAGAAACCAGTGTTAATAAGCAACAAGATAGGGTATTTATCAAATCCTCCATTACAGATTATAATTTCCGGAAAATATATTTTCATGTCTGTCCAACTTAGTTTACATATATTATTAAAGATTACTAATTGATTTGGCAAAGAATGTAGAATATCAGGTGCAGGTAGCCTTAAATGCTTCATCTCGGTACTATTTATTTGTATCTCATATGACATATTTAGTGTTAAGCAGGGTTTAATTTTCTTCCTCACGTTAGTTTCTGTTTTGAGAGTAAGGGGGAATGAAAATGGCAGACATAAACAGTTATGCAGGCTAAAGCTTTGGCTCCAAGCTTTGAGAACAGTTGGGATTCCATGCCAACAACAAACTGTAAAGACAGTTTCAACTGTCAAACATTTAAACTAAGTTGAATGCATACGCTTAGAAAGGTCAGTTAAAGCGAATTTCATAAAGATTCCTTATCCTCGCTCTTCAGCAGTTTGTCCCTCAAAGTACTGTGTCATATTGTGAAAAGTCAGTTTGAATGATAAATATTCTGAGTTTGAACTTCCCCACATGGGTGACAATGTGTGAAGCTCATTTCTGGTGTCCCCCGTCGTGATATTGCTGGAATATTGCTAAAGCGGTGTTAAACCATACTCACTCACTCTCTGAGTTTGAACTTTGAGTCTTAGAGAAAATTTACAGGTGAATAAACATAATGAGATAAACCTGTTATAAACATGATAAAACATATTTTTCAAAATCTATGGAATTTAATATAATTTAATTGAATATAATATTCATATGAATTATTGAGAAATAAAGCCTTTTGCAGCTTGCAGTTTGCTCAGAAGTATGATCATTGAATTGAAAATCTGTTAATCTTCAGATTAGAAAGATTACTTTATCTTATCACATGACATATATATGGCTCTAATATGAGTTCCAAGGAATAGAAAAATCAGGTTTATATTTCAAAATGGTAAAACCTCGGAGTTGGAAATTTTAAAGCAGTACCAAAGTTGAAGGGCCAACTTTTTTAGTGTTTGAAACACTTGATGATGTGATATATCTTAGAAATTGTCAGAGCCTGAGAACATGTTTATTCTGAAAGAACTCATTCACTTATTGACATGATTGAAGATTTCTTGAAGACACCAGAAAGTTATATTGATAATATTTTAGTCATCAGTTTAAAGTTGCAAGCAGCATAATGTTAAGTTGGGTGTGAAATTTACCTCAGACAAACAGACAAGCATACAGTTTGCCTCTATTTATATCTGCAATAACAGAAAAACAGATAAGTGTGAAAAATGACACTAACCTATTTCTTTAATGATTGGTTGGTTGTAAGGAACCAATCATCAATTATGAGATTTCTACCAGTCCAGCAAAATGCTTGCTTCTCATTATATATATATATATTTAATAATGGTCTCATAAGAGGTAGATATATCTGTTTATCTTACCTCACACATAAATGTCGCTTTCTGATTGGCTGAGCACTCTTCTATTATTTTCAATGTACCCCGCTTACAAACGAGTAACATTTCAATCCACCCCGCTGTAAATGGCAACTCATTTGGTACTCCGTGGTAGTAAATCTTTATCTCGAATAACATTGAATCATGTATGATGTACAGAAATTACCGATGTTTTGCGAATGCAAATCGATGGAAGGGAGATAACTCTAAATCTGTTTTTCTTGTCAGCAAAATCTAGCGATGGCTACAAAAAGATTTGTACCCATGCTTCAAACAATTCAAAATTAACATTAAGGTGTTTGGTAAGATAAATACTTTGTTCACTGGTCCCTCGGGGCCCATGGGTTGATGTACCCTTGATGTTTGTTTATGTTCCCCTCGCCCTTCGGGGCCCAGGGAACATAAACAAACACTGAGGGTTCATCAACCCATGCCCCCCTCACGACCAGTGAGCAACTTATATTATCACATTGCAACTTGGCAGCATGGGTGGTACTGCTGTGTAAAGGTGTGGCAGTGTGTATTGAATTGAGAATCTGATGATATGAGGTACAAATCATGGATTCACCCTACCAGTTATTCAGCACCATAACTTTGATCATGGGTTCATTCTGTTTCCACTGTGATAAGTTGACGTGCTGTAACTTAACTGAAATACTGTTCACAAGGCATTGTTGATTATTAAATGCTGGATGACGAGAAATTTCAGTACCTCAATATAAAAGATGATTTTCTCATAGTGGCACACCAACAGTTGAAAATATCAACTTTGCCTGTGATTGAGATGGAATATAATGTTATTTGATAAGAAAGGAGACAAATGTTTATATATAGTGTATTTTATTGCTTGAGTTTCATGATCTTACTCTTTGAACCATAAAGTGTAATTTCACTCGACTGAAATATGATTTTTATGAATTTCTAATTACATAACAAATATATATATGTATGTCTTATATACGTTATATGTATATTGTATAGTGGTGTGTGTGTCATTTAGTGTGTATGTGAATTAGCCCATCTTGGCATTAGTTACTGCATACTGCATGGTGAAAATAATTACAGAATTACAGTATTTATATCATTTTGGCTTTGCTTTGGTTAATGTTTGAATGCGATGAAGCACTACTCCATATTTGTGCCATATCTGTACTGTACAGACAACTGTATCAATATAATTAGTGAAAACTTTCATTCTATTATGTTATCATATTAAATATATATCTGTAATAACCGTGTCACTGATAGGCAAATAATAGTGAAAAACAGAATTAGAAGGCAAATTATCAAAATCCCATAGCACAAGGTGTCATCCCGTGTCGGTAGAGATGTTACAGATGTATTCCCTTGATGGTAGAGATGTAAAAGATATATTCCCTTGATGGTAGAGATTTAACAGATTAATTCCCTTGATGGTAGAGATGTAAAAGATATATTCTCTTGATAGTAGAGATTTAACAGATTAATTCCCTTGATGGTAGAGATGTAAAAGATATATTCCCTTGATAGTAGAGATTTAACAGATTTATTCCTTTGATATTAGAGATGTAACATATATATTCCCTTGATAGTAGAGAGGTAACAGATATATTCCCTTGATAGTAGAGAAGTAACAGATATATTCCCTTGATAGTAGAGATCTAACAGATATATTCCTTGATAGAAGAGAAGTAACAGATATATTCCCTTGATAGTAGAAATGTAACAGATATATTCCCTTGATAGTTGAGATGTAACAGATATATTCCCTTGATAGTAGAGAAGTAACATATTTATTCCCTTGATAGTAGATATGTAACAGATATATTCCCTTGATAGTAGAGAAGTAACAGATATATTCCCTTGACAGTAGAGAGGTAACAGATATATTCCCTTGATAGTCGAGATGTAACAGATATATTCCCTTGATAGTAGAGATGTAACATATATATTCCCTTGATAGTTGAGATGTAACAGATATATTCCCTTGATAGTAGAGAAGTAACATATTTATTCCCTTGATAGTAGATATGTAACAGATATATTCCCTTGATAGTAGAGAAGTAACAGATATAATCCCTTGACAGTAGAGAGGTAACAGATATATTCCCTTGATAGTCGAGATGTAACAGATATATTCCCTTGATAGTAGAGATCTAACAGATATATTCCCTTGATAGTAGAGAAGTAACAGATACATTCCCTTGATAGTAGAGAAGTAAGACAGATATATTCCCCTGGTAGTAGAGATGTAACAGATATATTCCCTTGATAGTAGAGAATTAACAGATTTATTCCCCAGCCTGTAGAAATGAAATGGATGTGTTCCCCAGTCAGTAAAGGTGTAACAGATGTGTTCCCCAGTCAGTAGAGATGTAATGGATGTATTCCCAGTCAGTAGAGATGTAATGGATGTGTTCCCCTAGTCAATAGAGATGTAACGGATGTGTTCCCCAGTCAGTAGAGATGTAACAGATGTGTTCCCCAGTTAGTAGAGATGTAACGGATGTGTTACCCAGTCAGTAGAGATGTAACAGATGTGTTCCCCAGTCAGTAGAGATGTAGTGGATGTGTTTCCCAGTCAGTAGAGATGTGACAGATGTGTTCCCTAGTCTGTAGAGATTTAACGGTTGTGTTCCCCAGTCTGTAGAGATGTAACGGATGTGTTCCCCAGTCAGAAGAGATGTAATGGATGTGTTCCCCAGTCAATAGAGATGTAACGAATGTGTTCCCCAGTCAGTAGAGATGTAATGGATGTGTTCCCCAGTCAGTAGAGATGTAACAGATGTGTTCCCCAGTTAGTAGAGATGTAACGGATGTGTTTCCCAGTCAGTAGAGATGTAACAGATGTAGAGTAACGGATCCCAGTCTGTAGAGAGTAGAGATGTAACGGATGTGTTCCCAGTCAGTAGAGATGTAACAGATGTTCCCCAGTTAGTAGAGATGTAACGGATGTGTTACCCAGTCAGTAGAGATAGATGATGTAGAGATGATGATGTGTTCCCAGTCAGTAGAGATGTGACAGATGTGTTCCTAGTCTGTAGAGATTTAGCGGATGTGTTCCCCAGTCTGTAGAGATGTAGCGGATGTGTTCCCAGTCAGAAGAGATGTAATGGATGTGTTCCCCAGTCAATAGAGATGATGAATGTGTTCCCAGTCCCAGTAGAGATGTAACAGATGTGTTCCCCAGTTAGTAGAGATGTAGATGTGTTACCCAGTCAGTAGAGATGTAACAGATGTGTTCCCCAGTCAGTAGAGATGTAGTGGATGTGTTTCCCAGTCAGTAGAGATGTGACAGATGTGTTCCTAGTCTGTAGAGATTTTAACGGATGTGTTCCCCAGTCTGTAGAGATGTAGCGGATGTGTTCCCCAGTCAGAAGAGATGTAATGGATGTGTTCCCAGTCAATAGAGATGTAGAGAATGTGTTCCCCAGTCAGTAGAGATGTAATGGATGTGTTCCCCAGTCAGTAGAGATGTAACAGAAGTCTGTAGGATGTGTTCCCAGTCGATAGAGATGTAGAGATGTGTTCCCCAGTCAGAAGAGATGTAGCGGATGTGTTCCCAGTCGGTAGAGATGTAATGGATGTGTTCCCAGTCAGTAGAGATGTAATGGATGTGTTCCCCAGTCAGTAGAGATGTATGTGTTCCCCAGTCTATAGAGATGTAACGGATGTGTTCCCCAGTCTGTAGAGATGTAACAGATGTGTTCCCCAGTAAGTAGAGATGTAACAGATGTATTCCCCAGTCAGTAGAGATGTAGAGGATTTGTTCCTCAGTCAGTAGAGATGTAGTGGATGTGTTCCCCAGTCTGTAGAGATGTAATGGATGTGTTCCCCAGTCATTAGAGATAAAACGGATGTGTTCCCCAGTCTGTAGAGATGTAATGGATGTGTTCCCCAGTCAGTAGAGATGTAAGCAATTTGTTACTATGATTCTGTTCCACTTGTCGTTTTGACAGCAATGAACAATGAATGTGATGTTCTTCATACATGTTTCTGTTTTAATTGGACTGCTTGTTGAGTTGTATCTGTTCTCTAACAGATGCTGACAGTCTCCTGTTTATTCATGACTTCACAACTAACACTTTCATATTGGGCATTTGTCTGAACTGGCAACAGAGTAGACATTTCTGTATGACTTGATATTGTTAAATATCCTTGATGAAATATGCCTTTATAATGTGTTATTTGTCTTTCATTCAAATCGTGTGGCAATATGTTTTGCATATAAGGCCATACAACACGATGTCTGATGACACAATAGATAGTGACTAAATAGCTCTACATTGTAATAATATTTAACAGGCTTATAGAGGTCATATCATGTAAGGTCACTTGAAACATTGTCTGTAACTACCTTTAGAATTACCAAACAGTTATTTTGTGTATATTCTGTCAGGGAGAAAACAAGGTTTGAAGCAACCAGTATGTTATGATTCCTTTAAAAAAATTCTTTGGGTGACATTTAAGTGCGAGACATTAGGTCTATGATTCCATGCCTGAAAAGCTAGTGCATTTTTTTTTCAACTCTAAGTCTTTTCAGAGTTGCTTTTACTCCTGAGATAAGACCTCATGCTCCCCAATTTGTCTTCAGTGTTTGGTTTCAGTCTTGTGAGCATGAAATACGGGTATAGAATGAACATTTTGTGAGATTACTATACTATAACAATTGAGGCAATACCTGATAGACCTAGGTGTTCTAGTTGAGGTGGGGTTTCTTGTATTAGAGAAATATATATTTTACCAAAACATTCTTGAACATGTCAAAGCAGTGATAAAAAATATGTAGCCACTCTTTTACTGACACCACCCAGAATACCAGGTGCTTATCATACTCAAAAACATAATGTAGGTTTTATGATCTTGGTTTCACACACACACACATATATATTATTTTTTAGCCATTAGGGCCATGTTATTTATCACACAGCTGTTATCCCCTGTCTGGGATGACATGTCATAATCAGTGTGTTTACTAATACCCGTAAACCCTCCTGACATGTCACCTCTGATTCCAGTGCCTCCATCCGTCGCAGCAGTCTCCGCGGTGAGAAGAGTGTGTTGTTCAAGAAGGAAGCGAAAGAGGAGGCCCTTCACTTCGGTCTTCTCCCAATGGAGGATAATGATGATGGGGTAAGCAACCTTCACACGTGATATATTGCTGACATGGTATGTAGGGAATACAGGCATATAACTCAGACTGTCACACTTCTGTAGCTTGTTTAAATGCCATTATTTCAATTTTGCAAGGGCATCAGGTAGGCTTGCTAACATTGAGTAAGTGGGTACAATATTTTACATTCTGTGGTTATCTCAGAATGCCTCAGTACATTGTTCCTTGTCATTCTGCACTCAGCAGCAACATCAATAAACATTTTGTGTCTTGAGGCTAATTGGAAGAATGGTGGTAGGATTCTGGTTGGAACTCTCACAGTATATGAAGCTGACATCTAAAAGTGTGGAATAAAATGAAACTCCAAGCTGGCAGTGCTTTTATCAGGGACAACATCGATAGGTTAGAAATACCTACTGTGGGTATTTCAGGTTAAAGGTAGCTGTGAATTGCTTAGTTTAGGTTCTTTCCAAATTGCAGATGAATCTAATTTATTATGGTATGCCATGCGCACTGGGGTTTTCTACACATGCATAAGTCTTTGTTAGGCTTTAAGTACTGAATGTTGATTGTGAAGGTCATGTTGCTTTAGTATATGAGCTCCTTGAGATATGACGCAAATACAATGTCGATGTCTGTACCATTAATTGTCTTCAGGATGATGATGAGAAGGATACGTCCCCCATCACCGACATTGATGATGTAAAAGTGACCATATCTGATGATCAAGAACAGGATTCACGTGATGGACCTCCAAGCCGACCAGCCAGCAATGCAGTCGTGTCCCGACCGACAAACTCTCAACCTGCTATGCCGAAGGAGGACGTCCACCGACCACCTCCGCAAGCTGCACCAGCTTCAAAACCAGAAACAGCCAAATCTCAGCAGCCACGTCCACCTCCTGAAAGCCGCCCAGTAGCAGAAAACCGACCAAGTGAAAATAGGTCTGTTCCTCAAGGTGACAAGGTTGCTCATGTTGATTCGGCCGAGCAAGGAGCTAGTGCCAGGGTTCCCCCAGCACAGCAATGGCAACCTAGAGCACCACAGCATGGGGCACCACAACATGGGGCACAGTTCAGTTCCCTGCCAGATCTCAAAAAGAATCGTACTGAACTACGTGTAGTAGATCCTCCAACAAGACCAAAAACACTTGATGATCACCTTCAGGACATGTTTTTATCCAGCTTACAAAAGGACCCTGTAATGCAAGGCCCCAATGTTCCAAAAACATCGGCGAAAGACAAAACACAAAATGGGCATAATAACAACAACCGAACATCAATGTCGTCATCCAATCGCAATACCTATTCTCATGATGACGGTCGACTGAAGTCATACAAGACTCATGCAGTGATTGGTGGGGATGATGATAAGGACACAAAGTGCTGTGTGATATCATAGTGACTGGCCCAGTTGGATATACTTGAGAGCACTAGCAGACTGATATTGACACGGTATTGCATGTTTACTGAAGGAAGTAGTGATATGTCCTGTCCGTAAACAGAAACATAGATTCTTTTTGAGAAACATTAATGGCATGTAATTTTTGAGAAATTATTCATGTTACCATGGTTACAAGCCATAAGAGACAGGTGCTCATGTCCAGAAGCAGTGTCAGAAATGGATATGATGGGGAACCATTTCCAGTGCAGCATACAAATGGCATCACACTGATTTCAGATCTATGTGAATACTTTGTCGAATTTTGTGTTATTCCAGAAATAGTCACAGATAACCCTACATTTTCTGTCATCATCAGATGAAATCTGGTGATGAGGTCTTCACTACATTTTCTATAGTATCATGCTTGAATTATTTCAGTTTCCCCATGTCATTCATGTTTCAGTTGCTGAATGCATATATCTTGCACTTACCAAGAGGTCTGTGTGGACTTTAGCATTGTCATATGCCACAGCGTTATTTATCTTATTTAGGAATCGTGCATATCTCTATAACTTGACTAATAGTTTGCAAATATTAGCTTTATTTATTAGATTCAGCTGCAGTACATTTATTTTCCTTTGCCCCTTTTCGACTCGTTCACCAGATGCTGAAAACATGCATTCCCCTTGTATGTACAGAACATCAACTGTTTAAGATTTCATCTCCATGGGCTGTCAACAGCTTGATATAACAGAACGTCAACCATTGTTTGCCCATATGAATGCAAGTCAGACAGCTATGCAATAGGAGACATCCCACCACCCAAAACTCGAGCCATCTCCCTTCCAAACACCACATTGTGGTTCATAGTGTGTCCTTTCTTCAGACATTCCAGAATCAGGCAACACTTCTCTTTTGTGGTTTGTGATTCGACCAAGAGCAAATCAGAAATTGAAATGAAATAATTTAGATGTAATGGCTTTGGGAAATAGAAATCAAACTGTTAATATGTTTTCATGTTACATAGTAGCTGTTTAGATATATTGCATATAGTCTCTGCTCATTGTAAACACCGTATAAGAAGAACATTACTGGGAAATATAGTAAATGCCTTGCAGATTAAACAATTATTGTTTGTGACGTAAGTTGCAAACACAGTAACCTTATTGCTTTATGAAATAAACAAATATTGAGCTACACCAGTGTATGAAGTAAGGCCCGTCCAACCGCCCGAGATGGCCTAGATTTCTGCCGGACGGTCTAATTTCACAGCTCGCAGCCCCATGGATGGGTGGAAAAAAATATTCAGATAATGTGTCCATTGGCACTGTCTATTTAGTATTTAAGAAGGACTGGTTAAATCTCTTCTGGGCTGTTTTTTTAAATTTACCAGCCCAGATGTCTGGCTGGGTTTTTGGCTTATTTCATACACTGGCTACACCAATATGTATTTGTTTATATCTTGGCTACAGAATGTTCGCTTTAAAAAACGTAAAAACCATGAAAGCAAGAAGTGTTGCCTTGGGTCCTCAGTGAGGGAAAACTTTCTGCACTTCAGGTTGTCTGAAAGTTTTCCTTTCATTGTATATGGACATGAAAGTGTTTCTTGAGGCCTTTTTGTGTGTTTCCTTGAAGTCTGACATAATGGTGTTTGTATGAATGTTCTACCTGGTTAAATCCCTGTTGTCGGAATGGGTTTCCCTGAAGCTCTAACTCTATCCTGTGAGTATGAATGTTCTGCCTGGTTAAAGCCCTGGGGTCGGTATGGGTTTCCCTGAAGCTCTAACTCTATCCTGTGAGTATGAATGTTCAACCAGGTTAAATCCCTGTGGTCGGAATGGGTTTCCCTGAAGCTCTAACTCAATCCTGTGAGTATGAATGTTCAACCTGGTTAAATCCCTGTGGTCAGAATGGGTTTCCCTGAAGCTCTAACTCTATCCTGTTAGTATGAATGTTCAACCTGGTTAAATCCCTGTGGTCAGAATGGGTTTCCCTGAAGCTCTAACTCTATCCTGTGAGTATGAATGTTCTACCTGGTTAAATCCCTGTGGTCAGAATGGGTTTCCTTGAAGCTCTAACTCTTTCCTTTGAGTATGAATGTTCTACCTGGTTAAATCCCTATGGTCTGAATGGCCTGAAGCTCTCAAACTATCGAGTGAGTATGAATGATCTACCTGTTTGTTTTAAGCCCCATGGTGTGAGTTTCCTTGAAACTATGGTATTGGTGTGAATGTTCAGCCTGTTCAATCCCTATGGTGGGAAAGTATTTCCAAAAGTTGAAAATGTTAATGTTCAAGACTGTTTAATAGGAATGTGATCCTTCCTGAATAGTTTATATTAATATATTCCCAAAGGCCCATTTGTGATTGTGGTCCTCCAAGCACCTTTTGTGTGAATGGAGTCCTGCCCTTAGTCTGTGAAAGTGTTGAGACCAAGTCAGTGACTGTTGTTTTGAATTCGAGGTGATGTAAGGAGCTCCTCAAAGCAGTGAAGTGTGGATTTGATTCTGTGGAAGTGGTCCCAGCAATCCTGTGCGTGTGAATGTGTGCTGTCCTCTGTTTGAATGTGTCACACCAGTTTATCAGTCCATTGTTATTTTTATAGAATTCTGTACATAGAAGTATCTGCCTATTACATCATTCAGTATGAAGCAGCCCTGCACTTTCTTACATGGCACATTACTTGATGAAGGTGCTAGGTGCAAATATTACATTTTACAAGTTCATGGAAAATAGGCATTTCTATGTTGTTATTGGTTGTTTTTTTAACTTTGTACATAAACTAAATGCTATTGTTCTGTGAACTACCCAGTACATTCCAGGTTGTATATAGCCATGTAAAATCAAGCACCATCTGAACATATTGCCACCAAGTGATCACTTGCACAATGATGTACCATTGAGTTAGTTCTTTTGCTCTGCCTTACTGTGTAGTAAGTTCTTCTCGGTCACATGGGTACAATGTGTGAAGCCCATTTCTGGTGTTCCCCGCCGTGATGTTGCTGGAATATTGCTAAAAGCGGCGTAAAACCAAACTCAGTCAGTCAGTCAGTCTCGGTCACATACCGCTGAGAGGACAGAGACATTGACACGGGGGCTATGGTTTGGCTAACAAGCTATTCATTAAATCCATAAATTGCACCTACACCGAGCTCACGGTCGGAATCACGGAGTACACCCGTTTCTCTTGACAAGGGACATTGGCATATCCTATTGGTTGAAGCGTTTGCTTGTCACACCTAAGGTCTGAGTTTTATTCACCACATTGGTACAATGTGTGAAGCCGATTTCTGCTGTCCCCACTATGATATTGCTGGAATGTTGCTAAAAGCAACATATGACTTTACTCATTCAATGATTCTCTTGGACTTGCTCCTACTGGCCCGTTCTGGTGGTGTGTAAGTACTAAACAAACCTCTGACATGTATTTCCCTGTGGAGTATTTATACCACTAATACTTTGATGCCTATTGTATAACTGCTAAACTCCCAGCCACTCCTTAAACAAGCTCATTCTTTGTAATAAGGGAATTATCAGTTTTATCATTTATCTGTGGCGATACGATTCATATACCAATAGTTTTATCAGTGTTGGTGCTATTTCTTGCAGATATTTGGACTCTTGATGAAGCCAGTAACAAAAACAGTTATTTGGGAATTCAGGATTTTATTGATCCATTGATTCTTTGAACCTTTCATGTCCCAGTGTATGAAAGCTTTTAATTTCCTTTTTAGTGTTACATGAAATTTTAAACCGATGCTGCAAGAATTTGGTGCCTGATTGAATATATGACATGGAAGTATATAGGCTGTGAGAGCTACAGTAGTTGGGCATTTGCAGGTATATCTGACTGGGAAAAAGACAGTCATAGCACTAGTTAATAAGGTGTAGTATGTATTCTAGGAGATACAAATTATGGGATGATTGAACACATGGAAAACATTGTGGCATAGACAACAAGTAGCTTTTGGATCCAGGACTTAAAGAAACAGTGGGGAGTTGAGGTCTACACGGCATACTGATGAAGTCAGCAGTAGTTCAATGATACAAATGTATGTCTTTTTGTCAGTGCAAGACCATATGTAATTTTTGAAAGAAAGGGGTTTGATTCCATCCACCCCAGACCCTCACCCCCATAGAGCTGCTACTGGAGCTCTCAGTCTCTCACACAACAGCAATCACCCTTGTTAGAGTAATCCTTAGTGAGTTATGTCTTCACATGGACTTGTTCAGTAGTCTCAGTTAGAAGTATCTGAAATCAAACCCATTGATATTAATACTGTCGCACTTTGTCTTCTGTCCCCCGCTGTTCATGTTGCCAATATTCTGCTCTCATTAGGAATATCCAGAATCTGACTTTCTTGTTATCTGTTCTGATATCAGAGTTGCCGACCCAAGACGATGTTTCTTGTTCCCTTCAAGTTGCATCAAATGCATTATCACTATTCAGATATCATCTATGTTTTATGTCAAGTAAATTTTTCAGAAAAATTGATCCATTTTTTTATTATTTTAAAAGCAGGCTTTTACTGACATACTGAAAATTACTTTTTTCAAAGGGGGAAAAATCACCAGAACAGACCTACATACCCTATTTTTGGATGGGCTGAAATAAGAAACGTTTTTTATCATGCAGATGGATTGAGTGTACATGGGAAAAGTCATGAGATGTTAATGACATTTGGTTATTGTGATAACCATGGAATCGTCTGATCTATCTGGAGTGGTGCCCCTTGATACTGATCTGAATGGAAAATGAGTTGTAAGGAAAACAACATGAGCATAACATATGACACTGTTTAAACCCATGTTAATTTGATAGTTTACTACTTCTTTATTTGTCATTTTTTTGTGGCATTACATTTAAGTTGAAAAGGTTAGTATAAAGGATTATATAGTAGAGAAAGTAATTTATTGATTTCAGTTCAAGCAGAGACCATATAATAGATTATTATATCGTGTCTGGTTCAAATGTACATATTTGAAGGCCACATATTCTGGCAAATTACCAAAATGAGAATATGGCAAAGGATGTATATATAGCATGCCAATTTGCATTCCCAGGAACCTAATGTTTTGACAAGGTTTGGATATTGGTGTATTGGTTGGTGCATGGTGTCCTTGGCTGAGACGTGTTCAAAGTTTTATTAAAAAAAACGAAGAACATTGGTCAGGAGTCAGTTAAACCTTTATACGATTGATGTATGTGTTAGAGCTGTCCAAATAGGTATGGCAAAAGTTCGGAAATTGTTTTCTAAAGCTCATTTGTTTGCAAAAATGCACCTGGTACGGAGTGCAACTTCTGAAAAAATGAGCTCAGGATTGATAACATTTTATGTACTATATACTGTTATAATTTTAACTCAGATATAAGGTACTTTTCAAGAAAAATTGAAAAAGCCGGATGTTTTATAATTGATTTTGAACATGGGATATATGTAATGATTGCTGACTCATCCTAAAGGGCATTTTGATCACTGTAGATGCCATTTTGATATTTCATGTTGCTTTTGGGGTTGACATTTGAGGAAAGCTCTAGGCCTGCAGAGAGGTTGTTTTAGCTTGATCCGTGAAACAAATGTCAATTTTAGCCATACCCATTTAGATTAGCCAAATACATGGTGATAACTAGGTAAGTGGGTGTTTATCAAGTAGTTCTTACTTCCATTTCAGAAGATGGTGCAAGGAAGGTATAACTTCCCTTTCTTGACCGATTGTAGTAAGCTACAAACGATTATAATCAGTTACATCATTTGTAGCTTAAATTGTTGAATTGTTGGCAGAAACTGGCAAAGCTGTAGCAGTAGATTACATGGTTTGGTTGGTGGCCAAGTAAGTGGATTACCTCCCTTTGTTGGCTCACCCGATAGATGTGATTAGAGATGTCATAATAGTGGAGAAGATGCAAAATGATGACTGAAGGGTCAGGTTAGGCAGTAGGAAATGTAAAAGGTAAGCTGACTGTAAGAATTGTACATAGTCCCTGTCAGTGATGCTTTCCTGATATAATGGGAAAGCTGTGCAGATGCATGTACTTTTGCTCATTTATTGCAGGCTGTTCCCTTCCCTGAACACGGCTCACGCTTCTTCACTTTCTGAGGAATTGATCATGCATGTAATGATATTCAAATGGTATATTTTTAATATGTGAGTAATCAGAGATCTGTTAACAAGGCTGATGTCCTGAAGTGTTTACCCTTGTTGACAGAGACGTTGACACAGTGGACATCAGCTAGACAGGTGCCCTCTGTTGATTGGCGTGAAACGAAATAATGACAAGAAATAAATATTGCTT